TGAGAGTCTCGGGCCCTCACGTGGCGTCAGGACCTCCAGCAACGATGTCTCGTGAAACCCTCAACCATCCGACGTCACTCAACGCCGCCTTCTCAGTGACCACCAACACCGAGCTCACAGCCGTGTTGGGCAAAACCGCGCTCGGCAAAGAATAAGCCTCATGGGAAAAACAGGGCTCCCTCCCTCCCCACGAGTTTTACTGTAATTCCCCGTGATCTTCCACCGCCCTTGGTTATTTTACGGAAGGATGCCGTATTTGAACTCGTGTCGTCGGGTTTGGCCCCAAGAGCCAAACCCGACGACACGAGTTCAAATCCCGCTCACGGCCAACACCGGGTGACGAATATCTGAACCGGTCCCGGGCCTCCCCTAGGTCGACTCAACCTCAAATGAGTACCTGGTGCGGTGTGTAAACATCGCCACTGTGGAGACAAAGGCGGTTGGGCGCTGCCCACCCGCCATCTCGAGTGCCGTGCCGGACTTCGTAGGCACTGCTCGCTAACAGCACTTGCCCCCCATAGTGTGTTGAGGCTACACGGGGCATCTTTGCCTTTACCTTTGTTGCGTACACTATCAATTTCAACTCAACACACAAAACGAGCGGTCCGCCATCCCCTCGTTGTCCCCCCCCCAGCCCCCACCACTGCCACTGAACGTCCCGACGCTCGCGCCCTGAAAAATGTCACTCGAACGTTTTGCCGATTTTTTTCCGCCCATCTTGAGGCGTCCCGTCTACCCCCCCCCCCCCCCCCCCACGACTCGCCGCTCTCAGCGGGTGACGGTGGGGGGGGGGCTATAGGCAACACGCTACACTAATCGAACGTTCGCGTTGCCCGTAACAGAGGTTTTGGTTGGGTCCGATCGCGTGAATATAACTGTGTCGTTAAACCCGCCGCCACCACCGCCACTACTACCCGGCCAATCATCACGGGTTCGTCCCGTAAACAAAACGTGACGATTCGTTACCAGTACAGCACTAAACCGGTCGAGTGTTGAGGAGTGAGCACCACCACAACAACATTTACAATTAGAGTCCCGTGACGTTTCGCCGGCAATTGCAGCAGCAGCAGCAACAACAACAAACACCGCCAGCAGCATCATCAGGTGACAGCCACAGAGAGTTGTCTGAGAAATCCTCCTCCCGTTTCGGTCTTTAAAAAGAATTTGCGTTGTGCCGTGAGCGAGCGAGCGTGCGCCGAGCGAGCGTTAACGTCCATCAATACGATGAACGGAACACGCGCACGCACAAAAACCACGCGTGGTAAACGGATTATTCTCGCAGTCAATTCGATCAAACCGCGAGAAAGTTGCCGTACCACCCAACTGATTGGGGGGGGGGAGGACACTCTCTGACCTCTCATTGCCCAAGGTGACTTTGTTGCTGCTCTGAATGTCCCAACGATGAGCCACTTTGTTGAGCGGCTATCATTTGCGGTGGCCAGGTCGCTTCAGAAGAATAACTTAAAACGTCGGTGGGCATGGGTTCAGTGTTGTATGTGTGTGTGCGGCTGGGTGATTTGTTTACTTTACTTGTACCTTGCACTCCTGTGGTGTGCTTGCACTGCTTGTTGTGTGTAACGTTCTTACCCCGTGGCCCCCCGCACTGTACATCTGCTACAAAAGAGCTTTGTAGCTCATCGGATTCCTCCTGCAAGTTATACATGAATTGAATCTGATCGAACGATCCCTGCTCCGACGCGGAGGGATGAGGACCCCTCGCGCGGCGTCGTCGTCGTCGCCGTCACCGAAACATCGTCACGTCCCCCCCCCCCCCGCCGTGTTCCAGACAAGAGAAGCTCGTGAAGTAAACAAATCAGAAAAACTGTGCACAGAGCCGAAACAGGCGTCCGGTAAAAAATAAAGATGCCGCGTCGGGGGGGAGCGAGGTTACCCCGTGACCGTCCCGTTACCTGCCCCGTCGTTGCGTTACAATTCACCGCAGTTTGTTCTGAGTCGAACACCACCACCGGTGGGGATCGGTGGTGTGCCACCGCACTCCACCCACTCCACCCACCACACGGACCCTCCACCCACTCCACCCACCACTCGGACCCTCCACCCACTCCACCCACCACACGGACCCTCCACCCACTCCACCCACCACGCGGACCCTCCACCCACTCCACCCACACGGACCCTCTACCCACTCCACCCACCACACGGACCCTCTACCCACTCCACCCACCACACGGACCCTCTACCAACTCCACCCACACGGCCCTCCACCCACTCCACCAACCACACGGACCCTCTACCCACTCCACCCACCACACGGACCCTCTACCAACTCCACCCACACGGACCCTCTACCCACTCCACCCACCACACGGACCCTCTATCCACTCCACCCACCACACGGACCCTCCACCCACTCCACCCACCACACGGACCCTCTACCCACTCCACCCACCACACGGACCCTCTACCCACTCCACCCACCACACGGACCCTCTACCCACTCCACCCACCACACGGACCCTCCACCCACTCCACCCACACGAACCCGCTACCCACTCCACCCACCACACGGACCCTCCACCCACTCCACCCACCACACGGACCCTCTACCAACTCCACCCACACGGACCCTCTACCCACTCCACCCACACGGACCCTCCACCCACTCCACCCACCACACGGACCCTCTACCCACTCCACCCACCACACGGACCCTCTACCCACTCCACCCACACGGACCCTCTACCCACTCCACCCACACGGACCCTCTACCCACTCCACCCACCACACGGACCCTCCACCCACTCCACCCACCACACGGACCCTCTACCCACTCCACCCACCACACGGACCCTCTACCCACTCCACCCACACGGACCCTCTACCCACTCCACCCACACGGACCCTCTACCCACTCCACCCACCACACGGACCCTCCACCCACTCCACCCACCACACGGACCCTCTACCCACTCCACCCACACGGACCCTCTACCCACTCCACCCACACGGACCCTCTACCCACTCCACCCACCACAGGGACCCTCCACCCACTTCACCCACACGGACCCTCTACCCACTCCACCCACCACACGGACCCTCCACCCACCACACGGACCCTCTACCCACTCCACCCACACGGACCCTCTACCCACTCCACCCACCACACGGACCCTCTACCCACTCCACCCACCACACGGACCCTCCACCCACTCCACCCACACGAACCCGCTACCCACTCCACCCACCACACGGACCCTCTACCCACTCCACCCACCACACGGACCCTCCACCCACTCCACCCACCACACGGACCCTCCACGAACTCCAGCCACACGGACCCTCCACCCACTCCACCCACACGGACCCTCCACCCACTCCACCCACACGAACCCTCTACCCACTCCACCCACACGGACTCTCCACCCACTCCACCCACCACACGGACCCTCTACCCACTCCACCCACACGGACCCTCTACCCACTCCACCCACCACACGGACCCTCTACCCACTCCACCCACCACAGGGACCCTCCACCCACTTCACCCACACGGACCCTCTACCCACTCCACCCACCACACGGACCCTCCACCCACTCCACCCACCACACGGACCCTCTACCCACTCCACCCACACGGACCCTCTACCCACTCCACCCACCACACGGACCCTCTACCCACTCCACCCACCACACGGACCCTCCACCCACTCCATCCACACGAACCCGCTACCCACTCCACCCACCACACGGACCCTCTACCCACTCCACCCACCACACGGACCCTCTACCAACTCCACCCACACGGACCCTCCACCCACTCCACCCACCACACGGACCCTCCACGAACTCCAGCCACACGGACCCTCCACCCACTCCACCCACACGAACCCTCTACCCACTCCACCCACACGGACTCTCCACCCACTCCACCCACCACACGGACCCTCTACCCACTCCACCCACACGGACCCTCTACCCACTCCACCCACCACACGGACCCTCTACCCACTCCACCCACCACACGGACCCTCTACCCACTCCACCCACACGGACCCTCCACCCACTCCACCCACCACACGGACCCTCTACCCACTCCACCCACACGGACCCTCTACCCACTCCACCCACGACACGGACCCTCTACCCACTCCACCCACCACACGGACCCTCTACCCACTCCACCCACACGGACCCTCCACCCACTCCACCCACCACACGGACCCTCCACCCACTCCACCCACCACACGGACCCTCCACCCACTCCACCCACCACACGGACCCTCCACCCACTCCACCCACACGGACCCTCCACCCACTCCACCCACACGGACCCTCCACCCACTCCACCACACGGACCCTCTACCCACTCCACCCACCACACGGACCCTCCACCCACTCCACCCACACGAACCCGCTACCCACTCCACCCACCACACGGACCCTCCACCCACTCCACCCACACGGACCCTCCACCCACTCCACCCACACGAACCCTCTACCCACTCCACCCACACGGACCCTCCACCCACTCCACCCACCACACGGACCCTCTACCCACTCCACCCACACGGACCCTCTACCCACTCCACCCACCACACGGACCCTCTACCCACTCCACCCACCACACGGACCCTCTACCCACTCCACCCACACGGACCCTCCACCCACTCCACCCACCACACGGACCCTCTACCCACTCCACCCACACGGACCCTCTACCCACTCCACCCACGACACGGACCCTCTACCCACTCCACCCACCACACGGACCCTCTACCCACTCCACCCACACGGACCCTCCACCCACTCCACCCACCACACGGACCCTCCACCCACTCCACCCACCACACGGACCCTCCACCCACTCCACCCACACGGACCCTCCACCCACTCTACCCACACGGACCCTCCACCCACTCCACCCACACGGACCCTCCACCCACTCCACCCACACGGACCCTCCACCCACTCCACCCACACGGACCCTCCACCCACTCCACCCACACGGACCCTCTACCCACTCCACCCACACCCCTTACCGGCTCGTGGGGCTGCACGTGGAACCGGTTGGGACCCAGGAGCGGGCGAGAGGGAAGCGGTGCTGGCGGGGAGCTCCGTGGGGCTCCAATTCACCTCCAGCTGCCGCGCGAGTGGCGACTCCGGCTCCTCCTGGGCTCCTCCTGGGGTCCCCCGCGAGTCGCCGTCGAGGGGTCCCCGTGTGCTGTGGCGGCCGCTCAGCTGCCCTCGTGAGTTCCCTGAAGCTGAACGCGTCGAGTCGCTCCCTTCCGATCCGATACGGGGGGGGGGGGCGGGGGGGGCGGGGGGGGGCGGGGGGGTGCGGTTCTTCTGATCCGCCTCTTTGTCTCGGCGTGACCCCGCGACGTTGGCCGGGGCCCCCGGCTCTCTGATCCCCCCGGTGGCTCAGGGCCCGTGTTGGTCTCAGGGGCCTCCCCGTACCTACTGCTGCTGCTGCTCCTCCTGCTGCTGCTGCTCACAGCCGCGCTGCATCCCAGGCGGCTCGCATGCAGAGGCGCCGCACGATGGCCGTGCCCTCGTGATGGAGGCCGGGGGGGGGGAGCAAGAGGAGGATGAGGCGGGGGGTGATGATGGGTGACGGAGGATGGAGAGAGGAGGACGGAAGGAAGCGAGGATGGTGATGATGGTGGTGATGGGGGGAGATGATGGATGACCAGAGTATGGTGATGGGAGGATGGCGACGAGAGGCGTGCCGTGCCTCCACGCCCGTGTCTCTCTGCTCTGTCTCCTGCTCTCACTGGAGCCGAGACCGGCTCCACGGGGGGGGGGGGGGACTGTTACCTTCCCACGGCGCCGCCGCCACCACCGCCTCGGCAGCCACGAATCCTTAGGCTCCTGAGGTCCGCGCCCGCAGCGAGACCTGGCGGAGCCGCCTCCTACAAGCCGGCTCGCCAGTCCACTAAGTGAGCCTCACGCCCTGCAGTGCAAACCCTGGCTGAGCGGGCTCCTACAAGCCGGCTCGCCAGTCCACTAAGTGAGCCGCTCGCCCTGCAGTGCAGACCCTGGCTGAGCGGGCTCCTACAAGCCGGCTCGCCAGTCCAATAAGTGAGCCGCACGCCCTGCAGTGCAGACCCTGGCGGAGCGGCCTCCTACAAGCCGGCTCGCCAGTCCACTAAGTGAGCCGCACGCCCTGCAGTGTTTCACACTCACCGCCTGTTGACTCCCTCCAATAACGAAACAAGCCGACCTGCTGCTCTAACGTTCACACCACAGCGGGTTTATCTGGGCAATGCCCAGCGTCCTCAGCTTCGGCGCTGTTGTGCACGATGAATTAATCAGCCATGATCCATCCACTGCTGGATGAAGGCTTTGTGAAGCCGACTATCGCAAACTCGCGATGCAGCAGCAGCGGAATTTGTGTCGACTCCGCTCGGCCCCCCGTTGGGCACCCGTGACGGGTGCCGAGTGCGGGGCTGCTGCTGGTGGTGGTGGTAGTGGTGGTGCTGCTGGTGGTGGTATACGGCTGAGTGTGTGTGGCGGGGGGGTCACGTGGGGAGTGGAAGGAGCGCGCATGGCTGAGGCTGTCCACCCCCACGGTGTGTCCACCCCCACGGTGTGTCCACCCCCACGGTGTGTCCACCCCCACGGTGTGTCCACCCCCACGGTGTGTCCACCCCCACGGTGTGTCCACCCCCACGGTGTGTCCACCCCCACGGTGTGTCCACCCCCACGGTGTGTCCACCCCCACGGTGTGTCCACCCCCACGGTGTGTCCATCCCGTAGCTCAGGGTGGTGGGGGGGTAAGATGGGGCATGGTAACCAGCAGAACCACAACCACCACAAACACCACACACACCACCGCACCTCCGATTAGCAAGGTACAACATTCGTGCATCACAATCATCACCAACCACCACCATCATTATCACACCCACCACCATTAAACACAATCACCACCATTACAATCATCACCCCCAACGCACATTGCAAGTGCCGTGGGCTCGCATCGCGAGCGAACTGAAGAAGTCGCGGGTTGGGTCGGTGTTGGAGGGTGGTGGTGGTGTCACGATACCCCACGACCCCGCGACCTCGCGACCTCAACTCGAACCTTTATTGAACACGAGGCATCCACGTCATTCGGCATCGTGCGATTGTGGCTGATCGAGCAGCACAAGCCAGGAGTGCAGAGTTGTTAACATTGCAGTGTTGTTACAATAGTGCGGTGTTAGAAGTGTGCAGTGTAAGAAGTGTGCAGTGTAAGTGTGCAGTGTAAGAAGTGTGCGGTGTTAGAAGTGTGCAGTGTAAGAATGGTGCAGTGTAAGAAGTGTGCAGTGTAAGAAGTGTGCAGTGTAAGAAGGGTGCAGTGTAAGAAGTGTGCAGTGTAAGAAGTGTGCAGTGTAAGAGTGCAGTGTAAGAAGGGTGCAGTGTAAGAAGTGTGCAGTGCAAGAAGTGTGCAGTGTAAGAAGTGTGCAGTGTAAGAAGGGTGCAGTGTAAGAAGTGTGCAGTGTAAGAAGTGTGCAGTGTAAGAAGTGTGCAGTGTATGAAGTGTGCAGTGTAAGAAGTGTGCAGTGTAAGAAGTGTGCATTGTAAGAAGAGTACAGTGTAAGAGTGCAGTGTAAGAAGTGTGCAGTGTAAGAAGGGTGCAGTGTAAGAAGTGTGCAGTGTAAGAAGTGTGCAGTGTAAGAAGAGTACAGTGTAAGAGTGCAGTGTAAGAAGAGTACAGTGTAAGAGTGCAGTGTAAGAAGTGTGCAGTGTAAGAAGTGTGCATTGTAAGAAGAGTACAGTGTAAGAGTGCAGTGTAAGAAGTGTGCAGTGTAAGAAGTGTGCAGTGTAAGAAGTGTGCAGTGTAAGAAGTGTGTAGTGTAAGAAGAGTACAGTGTAAGAGTGCAATGTAAGAAGTGTGCAGTGTAAGAAGTGTGCAGTGTAAGAAGTGTGCAGTGTAAGAAGTGTGCAGTGTAAGAAGTGTGCAGTGTAAGAAGTGTGCAGTGTAAGAAGAGTACAGTGTAAGAGTGCAGTGTAAGAAGTGTGCAGTGTAAAAAGTGTGCATTGTAAGAAGAGTGCAGTGTAAGAAGTGTGCAGTGTAAGAAGAGTGCAGTGTAAGAGTGCAGTGTAAGAAGTGTGCAGTGTAAGAAGTGGGCAGTGTAAGAAGAGTACAGTGTAAGAAGTGTGCAGTGTAAGAGTGCAGTGTAAGAAGAGTACAGTGTAAGAGTGCAGTGTAAGAAGTGTGCAGTGTAAGAAGTGTGCATTGTAAGAAGAGTACAGTGTAAGAGTGCAGTGTAAGAAGTGTGCAGTGTAAGAAGTGTGCATTGTAAGAAGAGTACAGTGTAAGAGTGCAGTGTAAGAAGTGTGCAGTGTAAGAAGTGTGCAGTGTAAGAAGTGTGCAGTGTAAGAAGTGTGCAGTGTAAGAAGAGTACAGTGTAAGAGTGCAGTGTAAGAAGTGTGCAGTGTAAGAAGAGTACAGTGTAAGACGAGTACAGTGTAAGGGTGCAGTGTAAGAAGTGTGCAGTGTAAGAACTGTGCAGTGTAAGAAGTGTGCAGTGTAAGAAGGGTACAGTGTAAGAGTGCAGTGTAAGAGTGCAGTGTAAGAAGTGTGCAGAGTAAGAAGTGTGCAGTGTAATAAGTGTGCATTGTACGAAGAGTACAGTGTAAGAGTGCAGTGTAAGAAGTGTGCAGTGTAAGAAGTGTGCAGTGTAAGAAGTGTGCATTGTAAGAAGTGTGCAGTGTAAGAAGTGTGCAGTGTAAGAAGTGTGCAGTGTATGAAGTGTGCAGTGTAAGAAGTGTGCAGTGTAAGAAGTGTGCAGTGTAAGAAGTGTGCAGTGTAAAGTGTGCAGTGTAAGAAGTGTGCAGTGTAAGAAGGGTGCAGTGTAAGAAGAGTGCATCGTAAGAAGAGTGCAGTGTAAGAAGTGTGCAGTGTAAGAAATGTGCAGTGTAAGAAGTGTGCAGTGTAAGAAATGTGCAGTGTAAGAAATGTGCAGTGTAAGAAGTGTGCAGTGTAAGAAGTGTGCAGTGTAAAAAGTGTGCATTGTAAGAAGAGTGCAGTGTAAGAAGTGTGCAGTGTAAGAAGAGTGCAGTGTAAGAGTGCAGTGTAAGAAGTGTGCAGTGTAAGAAGTGTGCAGTGTAAGAAGTGTGCATTGTAAGAAGAGTGCAGTGTAAGAAGTGTGCAGTGTAAGAAGTGTGCAGTGTAAGAGTGCAGTGTAAGAAGTGTGCAGTGTAAGAAGTGTGCAGTTCAAGAAGTGTGCAGTGTAAGAAGTGTGCAGTGTAAGAAGTGTGCATTGTAAGAAGAGTGCAGTGTAAGAAGTGTGCAGTGTAAGAAGTGTGCAGTGTAAGAGTGCAGTGTAAGAAGTGTGCAGTGTGAGAAGTGTGCAGTGTAAGAAGTGTGCAGTGTAAGAAGTGTGCAGTGTAAGAAGTGTGCAGTGTAAGAAGTGTGCACTGTAAGAAATGCGCAGCGAAAACCCGAGGTGGCTCAATTCCACCGGCGGGATCCGGCTGTGCGATTCCCAGCAGCTGCGACCCCCAAACTCTGTGGTGCCACTACCGCAGAGCAGCTCCGCAAGCGCCGCGATTGTCCACTACCCCCCAGCCTGAGCACACGCACACACGCAGCACTTGCACCCACGTAGTGTCCTGGCGGGGGATTGCCTGGCACATCGGGTTTTAATCCGAAGGGCCCCTAGAGGGAGAGTCCCACGGTTTCCCGGTGCCAGGAGATTGGCGCGGTCGAAGAACCTCCACAACGTTTGGGATGCTCTCGTACAACACGAGGTCACGTAAATTGATGTTGACGACGATGAAGTTTTGTGCAAAACCAGTTTACGACTGTGCACAAGGCTAATTGGAGAATCTATTGAAATTGAGAGAAATAAAAAAACTATGCCGATCGTTCTGATAGCTACAGGCTTAGTGCTGCGTGAAAGCGCATTATCAAGTAATACTACGCTGTTTAATTGCATGCCGACAAGGGTTACCGTAAGTCGATGGTGATTAACTGTGAGCGGCCAGTTACAGGTATGGCGATTTTTGCACCAAAAATGTACACACATGATGTACGTACGTAATACACGTACACAATATGCACGCATAATGTATACGTAGTGTAAATATATTATGTACGTTGATTAACTTTGACATCCATTGTAATGTATGACTACACTAGCTGGCGTTGCCCGGGCCAATTTTTTTTTTAAAACTACTCTTAAAAATTTAACAGCAGTGCGTAATGATTACAGCAGTGCATACTGACTGTGGTGGTACCTGCTATCACTACAGGAGTACATGCTGACTCTATAGCAGTATTTATGGACTCTATAGCGCAAAGTACTCACCTGACAAAGTGGTGTGGTGAGGCCTAGTCCCGTGCAGAGCCTCCGGCCTCACCTAGATTGTCCAACCGGCCGAGGTGGCATCTTGGCAGGCTGGGGCTGGGCTGCTACCCCTGACCGCCCCCCCCCCCCCCCCCAACCGCGATCTCCCCGGCCGCTCTGCAGTAATATTTAGGGCCTATAGTAGTAGCATCTAGCGACTGTATAGTAGTAATAATTGCACGCATCGGGGTGCGGGGGACATCACACAGTGAAGCATTAACGTCAACGTTTATTGTATTTTTATAGCATTTTTAACTGTGAAAGAAAATGTCCCCCTCACTCCCACTGAAGGCGTGCGACTTGGCATGGGCCGTGCCCCCCACCAAAGGTGCGTGAGTTGGATGGTCATGCACGCGTCATGAATAAATTAATAAATGGAAAGCGCACAAAAATTGCACTAAATCGCTAATTAAACTAATTTAAAGTTGACGGATGTGAAAAAGGAATAACGCTTGCTCACGGCAGCGCTTACGGAGTGGTACCTGGCTATCTTTATTTTACGTAAACCCCACTGTTGGACAGCGAAATCGTTCGCAAGCGCGCGAACACACAAAGCCACACACAAACCCACACACAAACCCACAGACAATTTTTGACTTTTATATATATAGATAGATTAATCCCCTCTGGTCTTCCCACCTGATTGGCTAACGAGTGAAGACATCACATTTACCGCCACCTCTATTTAAGACTGAAACAAGAGGGGGATTCCTCCACAACTCTATGGCTGTGACACTGCTTCTTGTTGTTAATTACCGGCGAAACGTCACGGTGTTCGAATTGGAAATGTCGTAGTGGGTTTAACTCTCCAACACACAAGAGGTTTCGTGCCGAACTAGTAACGAATTAGGCACGTTTTGTTTACGTGACAAACTTGATTTGAAGCCATACTCTTTGCAGGAATTCATACTCTTTGGTTCTTTCGGTAAAGTCACGTAGATAGAAAATAGATCACGACATTTCGATCGCAATACAAGCGACCGTCTTCAGGTGAGAGAAAGCTACTGAAACAAGGTCTTACGTAGGCCTGAGATGGGTGCAGCCTCAGGGTAAGAGGGCGGGGCTAGAGATGGTCTGCCTGAGGCTGTGGAAGTGGCTATTGTATTGTGAGAGATTAGCATGTCAATGCACGAGCTTAGTATGCCGCAGCATCGGTGACTGAGCGAGATCCTACTAACCGCTTGGTTACGAAAACCAACAATGTTATCACTAACTTGACTTCTCTAATCGAAACAACCAAGCTGCTCTCTCTAAAACCTTCTGCTGCTAGACCACCCAGATTTTATGGCCTTCCAAAAATCCATAAAGGTACCCCGCTCCGTCCCAACGTCTCCACCATTGACTCACCCACCTACAAACTGGCACGATTTCTGTCTGAGACCCTGCTTCCATTCACTGGCAAGACCACCTTAGCTGTACTTATCTCAGCTCACTTGGTTTCTCTAATCAAATACATCTCGCTGTCTCCAGATGATTTGCTTGCCAGTTTCAATGTAGTCTCTCTGTTCACCAAGGTACCTGTGCCTGACACCATTGCAATCATTGAAGACTTCGTCCAACAGGGACTGAATTCCGATGTGCCAACTTTGGTGAGGCACTGCCTTACCAACACATACTTCACCTGGAATGGTACATTCTACAAACAAGAGGGTACTCCAATGGGTTATCCCTTATCGCCAGTGGTAGCGAATGTTTTCATAGAGAAATTTGAGACAGATGCCATCCAAACATTCACCCTACGTCCTTCCTTGTGGAAGAGATACAGTGAGGGAAAAAAGTATTTGATCCCCTGCTGATTTTGTACGTTTGCCCACTGACAAAGAAAGGATCAGTCTATAATTGTAATGGTAGGTTTATTTGAACAGTGAGAGACAGAATAACAACAAAAATCCAGAAATACGCATATCAAAAATGTTATACATTGATTTGCATTTTAATGAGGGAAATAAGTATTTGACCCCCTCTCAATCAGAAAGATTTCTGACTCCCAGGTGTCTTTTATACAGGTAACGAGCTGAGATTAGGAGCACACTCTTAAAGGGAGTGTTCCTAATCCCAGCTTGTTACCTGTATAAAAGACACCTGTCCACAGAAGCAATCAATCAGATTCCAAACTCTCCACCATGGCCAAGACCAAAGAGCTCTCCAAGGATGTCAGGGAAAAGATTGTAGACCTACACAAGGCTGGAATGGGCTACAAGACCATTGCCAAGCAGCTTGGTGAGGTGACAACAGTTGGTGCGATTATTCGCAAATGGAAGAAACACAAAAGAACTGTCAATCTCCCTCGGCCTGGGGCTCCATGCAAGATCTCACCTCGTGGAGTTGCAATGACCATGAGAACGGTGAGGAATCAGCCCAGAACTACACGGGAGGATCTTGGCAATGATCTCAAGGCAGCTGGGACCATAGTCGCAAAGAAAACAATTGGTAACACACTACGCCATGAAGGACTGAAATCCTGCAGCGCCCGCAAGGTCCCCCTGCTCAAGAAAGCACATATACATGCCCGTCCGAAGTTTGCCAATGAACATCTGAATGGTTCAGAGGACAACTGGGTGAAAGTGTTGTGGTCAGATGAGACCAAAATGGGGCTCTTTGGCATCAACTCAACTCGCCGTGTTTGGAGGAGGAATGCTGCCTATGACCCCAAGAACACCATCCCCACCGTCAAACATGGAGGTGGAGACATTATGCTTTGGGGGTGTTTTTCTGCTAAGGGGACAGGACAACTTTACCACATCAAAGGGACGATGGACGGGGCCATGTACCTTCAAATCTTGGGTGAGAACCTCCTTCCCTCAGCCAGGGCATTGAAAATGGGTCGTGGATGGGTATTCCAGCATGACAATGACCCAAAACACACGGCCAAGGCAACAAAGGAGTGAATCAAGAAGAAGCACATTAAGGTCCTGGAGTGGCCTAGCCAGTCCCCAGACCTTAATCCCATAGAAAATCTGTGGAGGGAGCTGAAGGTTCAAGTTGCCAAATGTCAGCCTCAAAACCTTAATGACTTGGAGAAGATCTGCGAAGAGGAGTGGGACAAAATCCCTCCTGAGATGTGTGCAAACCTGGTGGCCAACTACAAGAAACGTCTGACCTCTGTGATTGTCAAAAAGGGTTTTGCCACCAAGTACTAAGTCATGTTTTGCAGAGGGGTCAAATACTTATTTCCCTCATTAAAATGCAAATCAATTTATAACATTTTTGACATCCGTTTTTTCTGGATTTTTTTGTTGTTATTCTGTCTCTCACTGTTCAAATAAACCTACCATTAAAATTATAGCCTGATCATATCTTTGTCAGTGGGCAAACGTACAAAATCAGCAGGGGATCAAATACTTTTTTCCCTCACTGTACGTAGATCGTCATCTGGCCACATGGCCAGCCAGCACTAAACCAATTCTTTAACCACATCAATTCCATACACCCAGCCATCAAATTCACCATGGAAGTGGAAAAGGATGGCAAGTTACCATTCCTGGATGTTTTGATCGAGAAGAGACCTGATGGCTCGTTGGGACATTCCGTCTACAGGAAAGCCACCCACACGGATGCCTATCTAAAGCCTGACTCCCACCACCATCCAGCCCAGAAGAATTCCCTCATCAAAACACTACACCATAGGGCCCATTGCATCTCCGACCAGGACCACCTAGCCAGTGAGCTGGAGCACGTACATCAAGCCCTCAGGATGAATGGATATTCTGACCGTACAATCCACAAAGCTGTCTCCCCAGCCATGGGAAGACAACCTTCTGAGGACCCAATCAAACCCATCACCTTGTCATACATAGCAGGGGTTACCAAAAAGATTTCCAAAATCTTTAAAAAAACACAAGATCCAGGTTTCAACACGGTACACAAAATCCGTGATTTGATCCCATCTGTAAAAGATGTGATCCCTGACGAGCAATATCCTGGTGTCTACAAACTAAGCTGTGGCTGCGGCAGCAGTTACATTGGAGAAACGAAACGACAAGGCAGATCTGAAGCACGGTAGGCCCAATACCTCTGCCGTTGCGGATCATTGTTTTAATGCTGTGGGCACACACGAAATTTATTTTTCCAAGACGAAGGTACTCTGCAAACCCACTGGATATCATCACAGATTTGTTCATGAAGTCATCCAGATATATAAACACAGACACAACTTAACCCGAGAAGATGGGTACAAATTGAGCAATCATTGGAAGGACGTTATTAACCAGGTAAAGTCTTAACCTGCTGTGAACTTTCCATCCTTCCTGGGATTTTAGCTGACTCTCTGAGTTGCATTATTAGGTTGGATGTCTTTGAATTGACGGGCTGGATGTCCTTCTCGCTCAGTCACCGATGCTGCGACATACTCGGCAAGTCACCGATGCTGCAGCATACTAAGCTCGTGCATTGACATGCTAATCTCTCACAATACAATAGCCACTTACACAGCCTCAGGCAGACCATCTCTAGCCCCGCCCTCTTACCCTGAGGCTGCACCCATCTCAGGCCTACGTAAGACCCTGTTTCAGTAGCTTTCTCTCTTTCACCTGAAGACGGTCGCTTGTGTTGCGATCGAAACATCGTCATCTATTAATTTTCTATCTACGTGACTTCACCGAAAGAACCAATGAGTACGTGACAAACCTTACCTAATTGGCCACGTCGGGTGGAGGCAGGTTTAACGACACATTTATATTCACGCGATCTAACCCAACGCACAAAAAAAACCCTCTCTAATTATGAACGGCCGCAAGCGATTGAAAATGTTTTCGTTGGAATTCAAGAATCGACAAGTGCAGAATTTGATCCCCCCTCCCGAGAAAATTCCGATCAACTTGCGTAACTTGACTCGCCGCACACGAGCTGTCCGTACAACAAGAGGGCTGTGTGGCTCGGTGTGTGGGGGGGGAGGGGGGGGTGGTGGGCGGGGTGGCGGGGAGACGTCCCGCACGGAGATGGAATTCACACGGCCTCGTGAGCGTCGATCTGTGCAGGCCCCTGCATGTCCGCGCCGGGCTCGTTTGGTGCCGAGAAGATGACCTCCACGGAGAAGGCCTCCAGGTAGGTGGCCCACGTGGCCTGCTTGTGAGGGTTGTCCAGCTCGAACCGTGGTAACAACAGCCTGGACACACACAACAACAACACAACAACAACAACCAGCATGAACGCACGCATGACACGACAACACAATAGCATGAACACACAAACAACACAGCAACACAACAACCAGCCTGAACATACACATATCACAACAATAGCCTGAACACACAACATAACACAACAGCAATAGCTGAATACACACACAACAACAACCAGCGTGAACACACAAACAACACAACAATAATAGACTGAACACACATTAACAACAACAGCCACCATTTGCCACGAAGTGGTGGTGATATAACCTCGACACTTGTGCTCGGCTAGGTGCGCTTTGAGCTTAACACATGACGTGTGGAAGGCTCGCTGTTGGCATGAGGATCACGGGTCAGACCCAGATGCCATGGGTTGACTGCTGTGCCAGGCTCGGTGCAGGAGGAGGTAACGGGACAGACCCATGTGCCATGCGTTGACTGACTAAGACAACTGGCAGATGCTCCATGCTGTACCCCCCTACTGTGCCAACTTGCTGCATTTTATCCGCCCGACGCTCTACTCATTGTTGTGAGCGTCGCTCCTCTGCCCTCTGCTGCCCAGTGAAGTCCTTCATTCGCCTCTTCTGAGACAAACAAACCCCCACCTCGTCAATGGCGTCAGATCCTAAACACTGTTGTGGTGGTTTTGCATTGAGCAACGCCATTGGGTGGGGAAAGGGTGCAAGGCCGATGCTAATCAGCTGTTTACTCGTGTGTGGGAGTGGGTTGAGTGAGTGGGTGGGTTGATGGGTGAGCGGGTGAGTGAGTGAACGTGTGAGTGAATGGGCGACGTATGTATGTACATACATACGGAGGTGCAAGTACGCGTGTGCATGTGTGCATACTTGCATGTACACGGTGGGTATATGCATTCGTGTGTGTGTACACGTGTGTATGTGTGTGTGGGAAGCGGTATGTAATAGCGGTTAGCGCGCTGCTCACGGCCAACACCGGTGACGATTATCTGAACCGGTCAACGGCATCCTCGTGGTCGACCCAGCCTCAAATGAGTACCTGGTGCGGTGTGTAAACATCGCCACCGGGGAGACAAAGGCGGCCAGGCGTGGTGCCGGCCACCCACCCAACCCCTCGTGTGGCAGCGCCGGCCTTCATAGGCGCTCGCTAACAGCACTTGCCCCAACAGTCTGTTAAGGCTACACGGGGGGGGGGGGGGGCATTTGCCGTTGTGTGTGTCTGAGCGTGTGCACAGAGTGCGTACCGATAGTTCTCGATGAACGTCGTGTTGAACCAGAAGAAGAACGGGCAGTCATCATAGCCCTTAGCCAGGCCCTGCGTGCCGCAAAAAGAGAAAGACAAACATTCCTCCCCACACCCCTGTAAGACTGTTAGCCAGGCGCTGAGCCGGCGCCACCAACTACTCTGCAGATCTCTACATAGTAAGATGTTTCAACAAATTTGGCGAGCGTTTATCCATGCGGGAGGAGACTGAAGCTGTCCAGAGGAACCCCACGCATGCGAGGGGGCAACGCTCTATCCCGTACAGAAGGGACGGATGTCGGCCCGTACTTTGCTGTGCTGTACTGCTTTCTCGGAACGTCTCCTAGCCACCGTGGCGCCCACAGTGGCGAGATGTTATCTCCCGAGCCTGGTGTGCAGGAGGTCGTGGGTTTGATCCCGATCCTGACGCCTGCTGTATATTTGGAGATTCCATGTTCTCCCCATGAGTGTGTGGATTTTTCTCCGGGTCCTTCGGTTTTTCCGCTCCACATTTAGAAACAACATCGTGCCTTTCGACTATTTGGCTGCTGCTATAAATTTCCACACGGTGATGATAAGCCGCTAAATTGAGCTATCATTTGTGGTGGCCAGGTGGCTCCTGAAAAAGAGCTACGTAGCTCAGAGGGGCCTCACCTGGTAAAATAAAACAGTTTAAAAATAGTTCCGTATGAAGTTTTAGTTTTCTGATGGGGAGCCAGCCAGGGTAGGGGAGTCTCACGACGCTGCCGTCTGCGCGGTGATCCACCGTCGCTCGCCGCTGCTTCCGCAGCCCTGGGTTACGGCAGCGGCGTAGCCACCGGTGACGACGCAGGGAAGGGGAGGGGGGGTGGTCATCGTGACTCTCACCGCGGACGAGTGGAATTTAACTTTGACGTCGCCGCTCACGAGCAGCGGCGGGGCGAGTCCGATCCGCACCGCGTCCCTCGCCGCATCGTGGAACAGCTGAGACGCAACGCACGCAAAGGCACAGACAGTCTCCAACCGGACCGGCGGGGGGCGAATGCTGCTCGCGGACGCAGCTCTGCGACATCCACTTCTGTGGGCAGTTCTCAGACGCCGCAGGCAGCGCCGGCCCTGCGGGAGTTTGTCCGCGGTCGCACGCGATCTCACGACATCTCACGACGTGTGATCGCACGAGAGCACACGAGATCACAAGCGATTGGACGAGATCACAAGCGATTGGACGAGATCGCACGCGATCACAGGTAATCGCAAGGGATCCAACGTGGTTACAAGCTGTCGCGTGCGGCCACGAGCAATTGCACACAGTCACAAAGCGGGTTTCGGCACGATTGGGCAGGGGAGATGGGGGGGCAAATGTGAGGCTCAAAACTAATGTGTCCCCCCCCCCCAGTCACCCCGAACTCTGGCCCTCCATTTACTCTGATCCCCCAGATCCCTCTGGTCCCCCCCGATCCCCCCTGTCTCTCCATCTACCCGATCAGCCTGATCCCCCCGCATTCCCCCAATCACCACGGTCACTCCAGCCACCCCGGTAACCCCCAGCCACCCTGGTACCCCCCGGTAACCCCCGGTACCCCCCGGTAACCCCCGGTAACCCCCGGTGCCTCGGGCGTCACCTTGCAGTGCATCATCTTTCCGCAGTCTGCGAGCAGCACCGTCTTCTTGTCCACGATGACCTCCACGCTGAGGTCGCTGCCGTTGCCCCGACCGACCCCTGTGTGCGTGGGTGGTGTGGGGGGGGGGCGCACGAGGGGGCAGTGGCACGGGTCACGGACACACACTCCTCCCACGTGTGTCCGGCCGCAGCGCCTTGTCAGTCCACCATTCGTCTCGTGGCCGCGCACCCCACCTTGTATGGCCTGGATGACGAAGGCCTTGATGAGGAGTCTCTTCGCGGGGGGCAGCTGCCGGTTGTGCTCCCTCTTGACGGCCTCGTAGTATCCCACGTAGCGGCTCTGAGCGAGAGGCGCGCCCCAGTGAGCGGCGAGGCCGTGACCGCGCCGGCGCCGGCGTTCCAGCGCGCACGGACGGACAGAACAGCTTTGAAGGCCGCCGGTGACGCGTTCAGGTTTGCGTCAGGGAGAACGGATGAAAGCCACGAGTCGCAGACGTACGATCTCTGACGCTGATAGCCGACGACTTTCAGCCCGGTGGGAGACGACCAACCCAGTAGGAAAACTAGGAGAGTAACAGGGTTCTGTCTTGATGGTTAAGGCCTCACCTAGTGGTAAATTTCCCGCCAACCACTGCCCTGACCACCGCTCTATGACGAGGAGTGGTGCTGGCGTCAGTTGATTGATTGTCCTCCCTGGTGCCGGCAGCTCAGTGCCGCACGTGGCCCGCGTGTGATCACGTGCAATCTTTGACGATCACGTGTGATCTTTGACGATCACGTGTGATCTTTTACGATCACGTGTGATCATGTGATCACGCGTGTTCGCACACCATGGCTTTGTGACTCTGTGCGATCGCCTGTGGCAGCACGCGACAGCTTGTAACCACGTTGGATCCCTTGTGATTGCCTGTGATCGCGTGCGATCTCGTCCAATCGCTTGTGATCTCGTGCGCGATCTCGTGCGCGATCTCGTGCGATCACACGAGAGATCGCGTACGACTGCGTGCGACCGCGTGTGGAGAAGCCCTGGAGACATGCGCGTCCATCATGCCAGCTGCCGCGCCTCACGCCGGGGCGGTAATTATCGCGCCTCGCACCGCCTGATCGCCGGCTCCGGCAACCCCCACCAGCAGGAGAGCACGCGCGTGCGCGTGGGCCGAGACGGAATGTCCAATTACGTAGTGTAAAGTGCAACGTAGTTAATCAGGGCTGAGGACGACATTCCCAATCACGTGGTCTAAAGTGTACCACGCATTAAATCAGCGCAGCACCGTGCAAAGGAAGCCACGATACGTTGCAGCCACCGGACACAACTACCGCCACCTCCTCCGAGCGGCCATTCAGGCGGTCGGGCAAGGTGCTGTTAGCGAGCACCTATTAAGTCGGCACGGCACACGAGAGGGGTGGTGTGCTCGGAACCGTGGCCAAATACTCGACACTCGCCAGACGCACTCACCAGACACTCACCACAAGGCACTCACCACTCGCCACAAGACGCTCACCGGACATTCACCACTCACCACAAGACACTCACCGGACATTCACCACTCGCCAGACGCACTCACCAGACATTCACCACTCACCACCCCACATACACGGACACGCACGCGCTGTGGGTTTTGTGCCGTGTAGTCTATGTTCGTGTAAACCTGGGACGGAGTCTCCACGCCCTGGAACTTGACGCTCTTCGTTCTGTCAGTGCGGCGCTCGCCAAAGTAATCCAGACTCGCCTGCGTGCGCCGCGCAGACACACAACACACACACACAACACCCAAACACAGACAATATACACACACAACACCCAAACACACAACACCTAAAACACACAACACCCAAACACACAACACCCAAACACAGACAATATACACACACACACAACACCCAAACACACAACACCTAAAACACACAACACCCAAACACACAACACCCAAACACACACACAATACCCAAACACACACACAACACCCAAACACACAACACCCAAACACACAACACCCAAACACACACACAATACCCAAACGCACACACAACACCTAAACACACAACACCCAAACACACAACACCCAAACACACACACAATACCCAAACACACACACAACACCCAAACACACAACACTGAAATCACACACAACACACACATACAACACCCAAACACACACACAATGTACACACACACAATACAACAACCGCCATTCGCCACGGCGCTTGTGCCAGGCTATGTGCACGTTGAGGCCACGTGAAGTGTCAAACGCCCGCTGGCAGGAGGTCACGGGACAGACCCAGGTGCCATGGGTCGACGGCAGGAGGTCACGGGACAGACCCAGGTGCCATGGGTCGACTGACTGAGATGACTGGCCAATGCACCACCTGTGACCTCTACTGTGTCAACTACATAATACCCAAACACACACAATGCACGATACACACAACGCACACACACACACAATAAAGAGAAAGATCCCACGTATAGCTGTAACTGACTGTTGGGGCAAGTGCTGTTAGCGAGCACCTATGAAGGCTGGCACGGCACACGAGGGGGTGGGTGGCCAGCACCACGCCCGGCCGCATTTGTCTCCTGAGTGGCGATGTTTACTACACACACAAAGCACACACACAATGCACTATACATGCACAGCGCACACACACCCATATACACACAATGCACTACATACACACAATGCACTATACACACACAGCGGTCGCACACCCAAATGCACACACACACAATGTACTGTACACATACACAATGCACTATATATACACACACACACAATGCACTATACACGCACAGCGCACACACACCCATATACACATACACACACAATGCACTATACACACACAATACACTACACACGCACAGCACACACACACCCATATACACACACACACAATGCAGAGCCAGTCAACAGGCTGTGGAAAATACGGGCACGACGCTGGGAAGCCTGCAGCTTTTCCAGGTTGTCGCGCAAGCGAGGCTCAAACTGGATTTCCGATTTGCGCTCTTAACGAACACGGGACCTGGGATTTGTTCACCAATGGGGCGCTGGTGGGGGACTCTGCTCAGTGGATAATAGGGTCACGGGGTGTCCATTGGTGCTGCACATGTAGGCGTTGTAATGCACACGCGGTGGCTTTCAATGATCGCAGTTGCTTTATATTGAGTCAAATTAAATAGCATAGTGAATGAAAAATTAAACTGAAATGATGATAAACAGACAAAAAAAAACACAATGCACTATAAACACACATAACGCACACTCTCTCACACTCTCTCACTCTCTCACCCTCTACAGAACAGGAGGAGAACATACAAATGCCACACAGTAAGGCGTCCGAGTCAGGAATCGAACCCAGGAACGTCTCGCCATGGTGCTGTGTGGGAGGGGGTTGTGCGTCTCACGCTCAGGGCTACCTGGGCTCCCTCAAACTCGTCGCTGTCGACCAGCCAGGTGCAAATCATGGTGCCCGTGCGACCTGCGTACACACGCACACACGTGCAAGCGCGCACACGTGCGGACACACGCGGACACACACGTCGACGCACACGCGCACATGCAAACGCGTGCACACGCGCGGACGCACACGCACGCGCGGACACACACGTGGACGCACATATGCAAACGCGTGCACACACGCAAACGCACACGCGGACACACATGCACGCGCGGACACACACAACAAAGATAAGACAAAGATCCCCCGTATAGCCTTAACAGACTGTAGGGGCAAGTGCTGTTAGCGAGCACCTATGATGGCTGTCACGGCGCACGAGGGGGTGGAGTGGTCAGCACCACGCCCGGCCGCCTTTGTCTCCCCAGTGGCGATGCTCACACACAGCACCAGGTACTCATTTGAGGCTGAGTCGACCCAGGGCAAGCCCAGGATCGGTTCAGATAATCGTCACCGCTGTTGGCCGTGAGCGGGAATCGAACTCGGGTAGTCGGGTTCCTAGCGCAGCGTAGCGCTAACCGCGACTACACTACCGCTCCCATCACACGCACACACACACACGCACGCACACACACGCACACGCACACACACGCACACGCACACACACACGCACACGCAACCTCCCACCCGCGAGTGAGCGAGCCCACGTGACGCGCGAGTGCTCGCACCTTTGCCCCCTTTGCAGTGGACGGCGATGATGTTCTTGGGATCTTGGGCCATCCAGTCCCGAACGCTGGCGGTGAACCTCACCATGTCCCTGCACGTGCACGCAGGGAAAGGATCGCCCGTGTAGGCCCACGCAGGCCGCCGGGGCGAGTGCTCGCGAGCGAGTCGCGGCTTAAGAAGGCTCGGCGCGGCGCACCGGTGGAGCGGCGGGGAGACGTGGCGGCGAGGAGTTTGGACCACGCCGCGGGGACACTCACGCAAGCGACGGGACGTTGTGGTCGTCGATGAAGATGCGGTCCACGCGGTAGTGGAAGTATTTGGCGTCGTAGCCCTTCTCACCTGTGGGCGTTGGCAATGCTCGTTACCACCACCATCACCACCACCACCACCGCCGCTACCACGATAACCACCTAGCCATCAGCCAAAACCTCAACAGTGCACATCACGATTCGACACAAACGAGTGCCCATCCCCATTCTGCTGTCACCATCCTAGACGCTCACCCAGATCTGGAGGAATGCTGCTGCTGCTGCCGAACAGAATGGAACAAACCGCAGACGTACAGCTAAAACAGCTCGTTCGAGACCCAAACATCATCACACATTCTCTGACGTCCCTCCTCCCTCCTCCTCCTCCTCCTCCCCAAAGACAATCAATGTGGCCATCAGCCACATTAGAACATCAATGGGCCAATGCGCACATCATTGCGACGTATCATTGCGGTCGCATCACGCAGGCGATGAACTCGCTGTGTTGATCCGCGGGGGGGGGGGGGCGGGGTTAGGTGTGGGTTGATGATGCTCTGTGTGTGGCTGTGTTCCCGGAAGCAGCCGAGTGACTTACTGCATAGGTTGTAGACTTTGTAGTGGTCCATGTGTTTTGAATTCAAGAACCGCTGCACTTCCTACGATGACACACACACGTGAGAGAGAAACGCACGCGCGTGGCGTAACAGCATCGCAACCATCCACCATGGCCACCGATTGTGATCGGCACCGATTTTACAACAACAACAACCCCCACCTCCCCATCTCAAATTGGACAGGAGCTGTCCCCCCCTCCCTAACCCCCCCCCCCCCCCTCCCTAACCACCCCCCCCCCGCTCTCTCTCTCAACTCTGCTGCCGGGGGAGCTCTTTGTCCCTTTGTGTTTTCAAAGAACCCACGGCCCAATTGTCGACTCCTTGGGTCACCCACGGTCCGTCCCCTCACGGCCGCCCCAGCTGTTAGGGCCACTCATTGGTTGCTTTAAAAAAATAAAGTCGCACACCTGTCAACCCCTTACCAGTGCCTTACCTCATTACAGACCAATTTAGACCGTATTGGTCACCCCGCACCCCTTATAAATCTCAACGTTCATCCTACAAAGTCCCATCACAAGGGAGAAACACAAACAAATAGACCAAAAAATTCTAATTTTGCCCGTACTGAAACGGCTGTGCGCCGTATGGCCCTGAAAACGCAATTTCCCTGTACAAGATTACGGGTAAACCATATGGGTTGACAGGCATGAAAGTCGCGAAACCGATCAGATGCCTGCCAGCCCAGCAACGAACATGACTCTCTGTTGTAACGCAATAATAATGATAAATGCATCTTTTTTTTCTTCTAATTAACGGCAAATGTCGGGCACATTTCGTCACGCTCAGGCTCACGCTGCAACAGCACCATGCCCCCCCCCCAACCCTTCCCCGCAACGTCCAAAGCCGCAAACTAATAACGCGCAAAGAAGCCACACACACGCGCAGAAACCCCCAACGGTTAAAGCGTCCCGCGAGCTCCCCACCCACCCACAGGGAGAGAGCGAGAGAGACAGAAGCATAATCGGAATCTTTATTTATACTGGAGAAATCCGATGAGATTCAAAGCTCTTTTTCACAGCTGTCCAGGCGGGGCGGCTAAGAACGTTACAACAACAAACAATAAAAAAAATATGGTAGCGGTGCAAAGTACAGGGTAAACAAAAATTGCCCAAACACATACAAATAAAAAAACTAAACCATTCCCATCCTATCAGGCAAGCAACTTATTTTTTCAGAAGCGTCCTGGCCACAAATGACAGCTCAACAAAGTGGCCCCATCATTTGGACTTTAACAGCACCAAAATAATCTCAAAAGCGTGTTTCTAAATGTGGAGGGAAAAAAACGGAGGACCCGGTGGAAAAAAAATCCACGCGAGATGGGCAGAAGCAGGAGGGACACATGGCGTGTGAGAGAAGCATCGCGGGTGAGAGAGGAACCACAGGTGGGAGAAGGAATCGCAGGTGAGAGAGATGAAAAAGAGCGAGTAGTGGGACTTTGGCAGGGTGCGTTTCGGCGTCGCGGCCACAGGGATGGCCCACACCCAGATATATGCATTGTCCTTGAAACTGATTGGTCCACGCCAGAGACGGCTTTCTTTAGAGCCTAGTCTCACTAACAGCGTTAGACCAGAGGACGCCAAAAGGCGAACAGCACAAAGACAATGCCACCATCAGGACACTGAGAGCTTGGGGTGAGCAGCTACGTCATTGGGACCTCCTTTGCCAGTATCAAAATATAAGAATAGAATAGTGGCATTGTCTTTGTGCTGCTCGCCTTTTGGCGTCCTCTGGTCTAACACTGTTAGTGAGACGAGGCTCCCAAGAAAGCCGTCTCTGGTGTGGACCAATCAGTTTCAAAGACAACGCACATACTGTCAGAGCATGTTTTGTGTTTGGATTTCCACCACAAGTACATGTGGTTAATGCAGACATGATCCCTTGCAAAAGGTTTCAGTTTGGTGTTTAAACATCTTAACACAGCTCCTGTTTTACTGCCAGAAAAAAAGTGGAAAACTGCTTCTGATGCTATTTTGTGATTTGATATGAAACCCATTTTGGGGTGTGGGGGTAACAAAGAGGATCGATGACAATGGGCACGTCATCACCTCGTCCTCCTCGCGCCCAGAGCACGCGAACATCTAAGCGCGTCCTTTATAACTCGAGTGTCAGTGTGCACCCAGAGCCGGGTGGTGCTGCTGCTGCTGGTGGTGTTGGTGGTGGCCATGATGTCTGCTCACCTTGATGGGGTTGCGGTACATGGACTGGGTTCCAGAGGAGGGGAACGACATCGCGATCACACGCTCTGCGAAACGTTCGCCGTCACGCACACACACGCACGCAGAAGTCAACGGTCCCTCCGCGTAGCCGTCACAGAGCGATGGGGCAAGCGATCTTAACGAGCAGCACCTACGAATGATGGCACAGAGCACCTCTGAGGAGTGAGTGGCGAGCACCACGCCCGGCCTCATTAAGTTTCCCCAGTGCTTACACACCGCACCAGGTAGTCATTTAGGGCTGGGTCGACCTAGGCGACGCTCAGGACCAGTTCAGATATTCGCCACCGATGTTAACCCGTGGCTGTAAATTAGAATCGGACTACTGGGTTAATAGCGCAATGTGCAAACCACTGCACCACCACTTCTCACTCAGCACACCTGATGACAGCCACCATTTTCCAATTGTGGCAGTGATGTCACCACAGCACCTATGCCAGGCTTGGTGCACTTTAAGGCCACTTGATATGTGGAAGATTCTCTGGCAGGAGGTTATGGGACAGACCCAGGTGTTATGGGTTGACTGGCAGATGAACCACCTGCGCCTTCCCACTGTGCGAACGTGCTGCGTTATCGCCGCCCGGCACTCCGCTCACTAATCTATCGATCCTCCACCCTACATTTTCATTGATGGGTGACTGCCTCCAACTGCCCAGTAGCGTCCTTCACGAGCCTCCTCCACGGACACTGATTTTGACACCGCCGGTACCGGTCATCAGCAAGTCCACCCAGCTCCACAACCTTCTGTGCAACATTAATCCATCTTTTCTGTAGCCCGTGCCCCCCTATTCCGCCAAACAGAAGCTACTTGGGCATGCGGTGGCTGGGCAGCCAACGTAGCCTCGCCTGTTGTCAGAGGAGCTCACGAACGGGGGACCATGTCCAGATCGTTTTCGCCAACGCACCTGTCACATAGGTGAGGTCAAGGTCAAACCCATCCTTCCGGTACCGTCGCTTGTTTTGAGAAACCTGAGATGCGGACAGAAACGGAAACGTACACGTACCGTTTAAACAAGTCGTCGGCGTGTGCGTGCGCGTGTGTGTGTGCGCATTGTGCACTGTTTGCATTCGTGATTCTGCTCATCTTTGTCTTTGTGTGTGTGGGGGGAGCGGTAGTGTCGTAGCGGTTAGCGTGCTGCACTACGAACCCAGCCACCCGAGTTCGATTGCTGCCCACGGCCAACATCAGTATCGATTATCTGGACCTCTCCGAGGTCGACTCAGTCTCAAATGAGTACCTGGTGCAGTGTGTAAACATCGTCACTGGGGAGACATATGTGGCTGGGCGTGGTGTTGGCCAAAACCCACCGCCTCGTATGCCATGCTGGCCCTCATAGGTGCTGCTCGCTAACAGCACTTGTCTCAACAGTCTGTTGAGGTTACACGGGGAATCTTTGTCTGTGTGTACTAAAGATTTGTCCCCAAGTCCAACTTTACTTCTGTCGATTCCAAACATGTTGTACGGCATGTACACTAAACACGGGAAATGGCTTTCAAAGTTGTATAATCTTCTGTAGACGTAGATGCCACTGATTCTTCATGTTCCGCAGATGTAGATGCCACTGGTTCTTCACTCTCTACAGATGTAGAGGCCACTGGTTCTTCACGCCCTACAGATGGAGATGCCACCACCGCCATCTATTGCGTGGCGGTTGATCTTATGACTCTCGGTCCGAACAGGCAACTGGGCATACGGACCAGGTTTATTCGTATCTCTGAAAGGTCGTAAGTCGAATGTTCGTAAGTAGAGAAGCCCCTGTATATAAAGACATCTCGGATCCAAAAACCAGTGGTGACGTCAATGACGTGGCCTCACGGTGTAATCATCGAAGAAGGCGGCGGCCCTAACGTGGCATCGTCGCGACGTCCGCAGTTGGGGACATCCGTGGAAGGCATCCAAAGATCCAAGACAGATCCGAAGTGCGTGCTTTAAGATTAATCCGAAACTTTAAGCATCCGGAGCTCGCGGGCGAGTGCTCACCATCTGTCGCGATGCCTTCTCCAGGTGATGCCTCTGGGACACGAGGCGCCAGACACGAATGATCATAATCAAACGCAGCACGCGCAGCACGCTCACCAGCCTGCAACAACAACAACAACCGCCACTCGCCACTAAGTGGCAGTGATGTCACCACGGCGCTTGTGCCAGGCCAAGTGCACTTTAAGGCCACGTGAAGTGTCGAACGTCCCGCTGGCAGGTCATGGGTTAACTGACTGACCAGCCTGCAGACACATCAACACACACACGTGCACAGACGCGTGCACAGATGCACAAACAGACACACACACAGGCACATACACACAAAGAACAAAGCTCCCTCCTATAGCCTTGTAACAGACTGTTGGGGCAAGTACTGTTAACGAGCACCTATGAAGGCCGGCACAGGGCAAGAGAGGATGGGTGGCCAGCACCACGCCCGACCACCTTTGTCTCCCCAGTGGCGATGTTTACACACCGCACCAGGTGCTTATTTGAGGCTGAGGTCGACCTAGGGTAGGCCCACCAGGAATGGTTCAAATATCCGCCACTGTTATTGGTCGTGAGCTGGAATTGCACTCGGGTCGCCGGGTTCGTAGTGCAGCTTGCTAACCACTGCGCCACCACTCCCCACACAGACAACAAGAACATTGTCCACTAAGGAACAATGATGTTACCGCAGCGCTCGTGCCAGGCTAGGTGCACTTGGGGGCTGGCATGTGAAGTGTGGAAGGCTCGCTGATAGGAGGTCATGCATGCGACATGAGCCACACAGATTGATGGATGAGGTAGTGCAGTGATTAACGCGCTGCGCTACAAACCCAGCGGCCCTATTCGGTCGCCCGCTCACGGCCAACATCAGCGAGGAATTTCTTAACCCGGTGCTGGGCCTCCCCCTAGGTCGAATCAGCCTCAAATGAATACCTTGGGCCGGTGCGTAAAAAATAACCACTGTGGAGACAAAGACGGCCGGGAGTGGGCCCTAGCAACACCGAACCCCTCGTGCGCTGAGTTGGCCGGCCTTCACAGGTGCTCGTGAACGCACTTGCCCCCAACGGGCAGTGCAGGCTACGCCGGGGGGGTGGGAATCTTTGCCTTTGTTGTACCGGGGTAGTAGAGCCGTCCCGGAGAGGTCGATTGACGTGTACACGATGGAGACGACGAGGGTGATCACGACGATGCCCGCATCGGCGATGTTCAGCTTCTCCCGGAAGTACGACCTGAATCTGAAAATGGGTGGAACGATCGCCCCACTCGTTCACGGCCAAAAAAAATCGATGGCATAAAAAAAACTAAGCACAGGGAAAAAAAAATCCGAGGAAAATAACAAACAACGTCACGCGGAGAAATCCGCAAATTTCCAGCGGCATACGCTGGCTCGGACAAATTAACTTGGGAAAGAATAACGTTCGTAGTCAAATTCAACAGACGGAAACATCAAAACAGATGTAGGGTGATTATTGCACGACTATGTAACCAGAGACTGTAGGGGCAAGTGCTGTTAAGCGAGCACCAGTGGCGATGTTTACACGCCCCACCAAGGTACTCATTTGAGGCTAAATCGACCGAGGGGAATCGAACTCGGTTTGCCGGGTGCGTAGCGCCGCGTGCTAACCGCTACTGCACTACTGCTCCCCCATGTAACCAGAGAGGGCCACGTGTCTCATGTACGTTGGTGATGCGGTGTCCAACAAGTCGCCATCAACGCCTCTCCTCCTTACACGCGCGTCCGAATACAATTGCATTGCGTAGCATCGTTAGAATGCGTCCAGCTTAACTCTCGGTAACGACTAACGTTACTATTGTCGATTTTATTTTTTTTAAAGACAGGAGACTCGGTCTACAGCGAGTTCGACGAGAAGGGCGAGGAAAGGCGACGGGCGGCGCTCACGAACCCCGAAACGAAGACGCGGAGGGCGACGTCGACCAAGAAGAAGACGGAGATGGCGAGCGAGGAGGCGGAGAGGGCACGGGAAGCCACGGCGGGTTTCACGGGGGTCGAGAGGTCGCCCACGACCAGGGCCAGGTCCACAACGATCAGCAGCAAACTCAGGGCCCTGAGACGCGGGCGGCACAGCGTCACGTGACAGATTGCCTCTCTCTGACCATAATAGAGGGGTTTATTTTTTGTTCGGTTAGATCACGTGAATATAAATGTGTCGTCAAACCCGCCACCGCCCGACACAGCCAATTACTAATGTTTGTCACGTAAAACAAAACTTGCCAATAATTAGTTACTAGTCCAGCACACACCCGGTGTGTGTTGGAGAGTAAAATCCACAATTACATAAAAAAAATCGAGCACTGCGTGACGTTTCCCCAGTAATTACAACAACCAGCCCTGGCATGTCCGGACCGAGCCAGCGTAGCACCTTCACGGTGTATACGGCTTCCTTTCCCACTGGCTGGTGGCCGAGCTGAGCCACGACCCCAATCACGATTTTCTGGCCTCGCACAAAATCTGAATCTGGCTGCTCAGAGGGCAGCCAAGCAGGGCCAGGGGCGGGGCTAATGAAGTATGCGTGCGTCAGGTCAGTATGGTGCGAGTGCACCTTCATTCATTCTTTATTAAAAGTCATCACGTGCATAGCTTTAACTAAAAAAAGGACGTTCATAAGCGCACTGGAGAATACATTTGTTGAATAGTTCCAGACGACTCGGAGACGTAGGTAAGGGTTAAGGACTTGCGCCGGTAGTTTATTGGGACTAATGCCACTAACACAAAGGGTGTAACAACTTCCCAGGGGCTAGGGGTCCCAATCTAGTTCCCACAGGGTTCCCTCCACAGCAGGCTGCCCCGTGCTGCCTCCTCTGCACAGCCACCTCCAGCCCATGTGCTGCGCTGTTCCCGACTCCAATCCCCTTGCCCCTGGCCCTCCGTTCCACCCTACTCCGACCCTTCACTCCAGCTACGACCCAGCTTACAGCACGGGCTCTCCCTTATGTATCCCTGCGGGACATGACGTCATCCCGCCCCCAGGCACGTATGACGTCACTTCACGCGACGTCATCGCCCCCGGAGGCGAGCGTGACGTCATGTACGCGACTACTCCTCTACACATTCAAGAACGACGACAAAAAAAGTCTTCGGATTCTGAGAGAAGGGCGACAGCGACGCCGGTGTGCGCCCGGGGGCAGAGAGAGAGGGGAGGGCGGCGTGAATTCCAGACGACCGGAGCTGCGAAGGAGAGGGCAGCGTTTTGCCGGGCGCATGCAACACGGGGGGGGGGGGGTGAATTCGGAGGCAATTCTGAGCTACATCGGAGGACCTCAGGCTCAGAGGACGGGCATCTTACACGCGTCTCGATATCGTTTGTATCGAGGGCGCTGGGGTGGCTAGGAGATGTTTACTACCTCGCCTGGTATGCAGGAGGATGTGGGTTCGATCCTGACCCTGACGCCTGCTGCTGTATATTTTGAGTTTGTATGTCTCTCTCTCCCAGTGGTCGCGTGGATTTTTCTCCGGGTCCTCCGGTTTTCCCTTCACATTTAGAAACGTGCGTTCAGAGTATTTGGCTGCTATAAATGTCCACACGGTAAGCCACTTGGTAGAGCCGTCATTTGTGGCCAGGTCGCTTCTGAAAAAAAGCTGTATAGCTCAGTGGGGCCTCACCTGGTAAAATAAAAAAAAAGTTTAGTTTAGTTCACTGCACGCAATGCCATCGGCACGGCTCGGTTCCTGCAGTGGAAAAAAAAACGAAACGCAGGTTCAAGCGTTTTTTTGCGTTGGCCCGAGAAGCGTACCAGGTAAACGTGTAATCAGTGCGACTCCGCTGACGCTTACCTGAGACACAGTGACATCACCACCGGCTCCATGGTGGCTCTGGCGCGACTGTGAACGCAAAGGCATCGGTTAGACTCCCACGTCATCATCGTCGTTCTTGCCGACACCAAAACGCTGCAACAGTCCAGCAGGCGAAAAGTGAACGCCGAGAAATTGGCAGTCGTCAGCAGTTGAGCACTTCGGCGAGACCCTCGCTCGCCTGCTCCAACCCTTCAATGGCCAAATGAACCCCTCATTAAGTGGCCATCTCTCGAGCTCCTTCATCGCCGCTGCATCGCTGCACTGGTTGTGCTCTCGGGGCGCGTGCGCGCGTGCGCGCGTGTTCCCCATCCTTCGGCTGCCACTCCACCGCTGGCCTTGTCCGTTGGGCCCATCGTCACCACAAGCGGCGTGAGCTGCCCGGGCCCGCTCACGTGCGTCTATTGGCCATCAACCAAAAGGCGACTTTTTCTTTTTCAAAGGAGTGTGCGGGCGCACGGGCGGGCTTGCGAGCGTGACGTGAGTGTACGAGCGTGCGAGGCTTGAGTGCGCGGTTATCGCGCTGTGCTATGAACCCGGGGGGACCCCGAGTTCGGTTCCCGCTCACGGCCAACACCGCCGGTGATGAATATCTGCACCGGTCCTGGGCCTCTCCTGGGTCGACTCGACCTCAAATGAGTACTTGGTGCGGCGTGTAAACATCGCCACTGGGGAGACAAAGGCAGTCGGGTGTGGTGCTGCTCACCCACCCCCTCGTGTACCGTTCCGGCCTTCATTGGTGCTCGCTAACAGCACTTGCCCCAACAGTCTGTTAAGGCTATACGGGGGAACTTTGTCTTTTTTTTGGTGTGAGAGTGATAGTGAGGGGCAGTGAGTGAGGATGGGATGTATGACAGTGAGTGAATGAGAGCTCACTCGCTAGGGGGCACAGGTGGTGCACCAGCCAGTCATCTCAGTAAGTCGACCCGCGGCACCTGGGTCTGCCCCGTGACCTCCTGCCCGCGGGCCTCAAGGTGCACATGGCCTGGCACAAGCGTCGTGGTGACATCACCGCCACTTAGTGGCGAATGGCGGTTGTTGTTGACTCACTCGCTCGCCGTGTCCACCGTGAAGGAGTTTCCATTCTCGAGCGCCGTTTGGGCCCCCTTGGCCGCACCGTCGCAGAGCTCCACCCTCCTGCCGTCGAACGACACCGAGGGATCCATGGCCCCGCACGCTCCTACTCGCACATGCACACACGCACACACACGCACACACACGCGCATCCACCACAGCGAAAAGCCGCTGTTCGCCACCAAGCGGCGGTGAGGTCGCCACGTCTCTTGTGCCAGGCTAGGTGCACCTTAAGGCCATCTCACGTGAAGTGTACAGAAGGCTCTCTGCTGCTGGCAGGTCACGGGACAGACCCAGGTGCCATGGGATGACTGGCAGATGCACCACCTGTGCCCCCCCCACAGTGCCAAAATTGCAGAATTATATCCGCCCGGCGGTTCGGCTCATTGTTGTGAGCGTCGCTCCTCTGCCCTCCATTGTTGCTGGAGGGCGACTGCCTCCAACTGTCCAGCAGCGTCCTTCACGAGCCTCCTCCACAGAGGCCGATCTTGACACCTCTGGTACCGGTCATTGACAAGTCCACTCGGCTCCACATCCTCCCGTACCACATCAGCTACATCTCTTTTCTAGCCCGTGCAGCGCCCGTTTGGCCCCCTCTATCCGGCCAAAGAGAAGCTGCTTTGGTATACGGTGCCTGGAAAAGCGTGCTAGCAATGCAGCCGCGTCTGCCAGAGGAGCTCACCGTTGGTTATTTCAATAATGGAGGACTAACGGGAACTGTGTGTCCAGATCTTTTAAGGATTTCGTACAATCCGGGCTGAACAAAAACCAGGATGGATTGTAGGCAAGGCAGCCTGAAGGCTTTCAACAATACAGCATTTAATTCACGGCTTTCCAGTCGCTAAGCACACACGTGGCTTATAACAAAGCAGATAATCCATCAGATCCGGGAATATGAATTTAATTCAGCCCAAGTGTGTCATCCGCAGATTTCGTGGCGTTGCGCGTCACTCGGATTCAGGTGACAGAAATCACGATCAATTAATTATTGAGTGCACGCGAAGTGTCCAATGTGTGAAGGGCAGAGAGGCTGGCAGTTTGAAGAGAAACAAACTCTTGAGTGAAATGGGTGCTAGACACCAAGGTGGCGAGGCGTTAACTACAGGAGGTCGTGGGTTCGATCCAGAACCTGACGCCTGTATATTTGGAGCTTGCGTCTTTCTCTCCCCGTGGTCGCGTGGATTTTTCTCCGGGTCCTACGGTTTTCCTACCCCTCAACATTTAGAAACATCACGCGTTTAGACTATTTGGCTGCTGCTGTAAATTTCCACGTGGTGATAAGCCCACTGCGTTGAGCTATCATTTGTGGTGGCCAGGTCGCTCCTGAAAAAGAGCTACATAGCTCAGTGGGGCCTTTTCTGGTAAAAATAAAACATAGTTTATAGTTCTATAGTCTGGGGGGCGTGTGACAGAAGCTCCGAGGAAATGCGGTACAGTAACTATGTTCTTATTATTGGTTCTTTCGGTAAAGTCACGTAGAAGGGAAACAATAAAATAATAAAAATATAAAACAATACAATTATCACGACGCTACGACTGCAACACAAGCAATCATCATCAAGTGTGAAAACCACAGCAAGAAAATTTGAAAAAACGCCACTGCCTGTGATTAAACCGCGTTCTCAAGTGTCAGGGAGTTGACGGTGTAAGCCCGGTTACGAGTCACTCGCGAAAATTATTATTAAAGGTAGCACAGCGGATTGAGTGTGTAAGCAACTTCTTAAGCGTTGGATGCAACTGGGTAGAATCTAATGCCAAGTTCCTGAGTATCGTGGACAGAGCTACACAGAAGTCAATGATCGCTGACGTCTGTGACACAGAACGTGGCACGCAGAGAGAGAGCATTATCAAGTGTCCACTTTGCTAAGCACTAGTGAGGGCATCTATGGAGATAGAGAGATACAGGGACTCCACTACTTACGAACGAGTTAGGTTGCAGAGGTCTGTTCGCAAGTCGATTTGTTCAACTTTACTCCTGTCGATTCCAAACATGTTGTACGGCGTGTACACTAAACACGGGGAATGGCTTTCAAAGTTGAATCATCTCCTGTAGATGCAGATGCCACTGGTTCTTCACGTTCTACAGATGTAAATGCCACTGGTTCTTCAAGTTACGACTCTCGGTCCGAACAGGCAACTGGACGTACTAACCAGGTTTGTTCGTATCTCTGAAAGTTCCTAAGTCGAATGTCCGTAAGTCGAATGTCCGTAAGTAGAGGAGTCGTCGAAATCGACGGTATCCAGTGCATTCTGCCGCTTGTCGAAACCGTCGAGAACCGTGAACGGAGGAGCTCCCATAATAGAGGTCGCGAAAGCCTACATGGTAGACGAAGGAGCCCATCGTGCGGGATGGCATCACGGTCCAAGTTTTGCAAAATTTTGAGCAATCACACCCCACAGGCGGAGTTTGATTTCTATATTGGGGGGGGCAGGTAGGGGTTCGCTTTGCCCCTCACATTATGAATCGCGGGTGCATATGTATAAAAAAATTTGTAATATTAATTATAAACTACAAAAAAAATTAACGTGCCCAGTTTGGGAGGGGTGTTACCCACCCCCCGCCCCCGCAGAAAACCTGGCCCATGATTACACCACAAAATAACACCGGATAGCAAACATCGCCCTCCAAATACCAACAAAAACTTTAACCAAGTGAGTATATATATTTTTTAGGATTTGGCAAAAATTTAACAGTGCTACCGGGGGGTCTCGAGACTCCTCTCGGTGAGGCTTAGCCCTGGGTAAATAAATGTCAAGGATTAAACATTTAAGGAACCCGCGGCTGCACATCGAATGTGATCATCTGCAGACTTGCACCGTGTGTTCACCGTGCGGTAATAAAAACCGGGAGTGAATAATCATTAACAGTTTATCTTCAACGAGAAGTCATTCATTTGTCTGAGCTCCAAAGGTCCACCATCACACGAAATGGTTGATGAGTCCCTCACTGACATGGCAGAGAATATCCAGAGCCCTGAAGGACCCGAGTAGTGGTACATACACTGCGGCGGGTAAAATGTAAAGGGGGACGTCCATAAATGACGTCACGCGATTTTGGACGATTATTGACCCCCCCCCATCACACGGCGTCACAAACAGTCAGACCTCTCTCAAATATGACGTCACAAAGCTCTGCCCCCCCCAAAAAAAATATATATATATAAAACATGCTTCAAATCGCATTAAAATATTGTCATTGTAGTGCGTATTTAATGTGGCGCTGCACTCTGATGTTGTAGGAGAAAACATTTATTAAAAGTCTTTAATTAAGTAGAACATGTTGTCTATATTTATTTAAAGTTGCGCATTTTGATGTGAAGTCACATTTCTCAAACTCCCCCCCCCCCCCAGGTGCGTGACGTCATTTATGGACGGCCCCAAAGACACAAATAGAGAACGAACGAGATCAATGTGTGCCGGATAAAAGGGGCGACGTGAACAGAGGTGGCGGTGGTGCAAGTTGGTGATGAGTGGATGAGTGTTGCTGCAATTAGTAGCCCTGAGCAAGATGAAACAATAGCGTTGAAAACAAGAATCATACAACTGGTGATGAAATTCTGTGCGGATCTTCATAACAATATTACCCCGGGAATACAAATAATTTTCACGTGAGAAACTTTCACATGACTCACACAAATAAGCAATCAATGCCTACTCAAAAAGACAAAGATCCCCCGTGTAGCCTTAACAGACCGTTGGGACAAGTGCTGTTAGCGAGCACCTATGAAGGCCGGCACGGCACACGAGGAGGTGGGTGGCCAACACCACGCCCGGCCGCCTTTGTCTCCCCAGTGGTGATGTTTACCCATCACACCAGGTACTCATATGAGGCCGAGTCGACCAAGGGAAGGCCCAGGACCGGTTCAGGTAATCGTCGAGCGGGAATCGAACTTGGGTCGCCGGATTCGTAGCGCAACGCACGAACCACTACGACACTACCGCTCCACGCACACCTACAACCACTCGAAAATGCTTCACGCACAGAAACCAAACGCGTGTGGATATTATATATAAACACAAGATTACAAACGCAAACCACAACATTCACACAAAAACACACACAATGATCAAATGTTAAGCAACAAAAGTTCCCAGTTTTTTTTTTAACCTGCTCAAATGAACCGAGGCGATGCTCAGCTCTTACAGCCCTATACCAGTCGTAGGAATTCCACGTTCCCGTGGCGGGAACGAGTCTCTCGAAAGGACCGCCTCTGCCAACTTCCCACAGAGTGGTAGTCATTTAATCAACCGCAGAGGGATTGACGGGCCGAGCCAACTCCCAACCGGGTTTCGAACTCGCAGCTTATTCGGATTTACGAGCCAGCTTGCCCTAGCGCCGAGCCACCCGCGGCCGGATTCACGAACCAAACACGGCCGTAAATAAACGCAGCAGCGTACCGTTGCGACGTTGCGATGCTTCAGAGGATGCGGCGGCGCCGGCCTTCGTGCCTGCGGTCCGATCGATTCGTGGCCCCCCCTAATTGGGAGGGAGCGACAACATCTCACCGCGGCCTCTCGCGCACCAACGGAGCTGTACGGCACGGGAATGTAACTAAGGATGTTCCTGGGGGGGGGAGGCGGTGTCTTCAATCCATTGTCAGGAGACCCACAAGTGCCAAAGGTTTGCACAGGGTTCGCATTTTGGTTAACATTGTTGGTTAAACATTGTTCGTGGCCCACGTGCGCTCCCGTGCCCTTAAAGTGTTGGTGAAACGCTCCCGAGCGGTGACGCCGTCGGTGGTGAAGTATGGTCAAATAATCACCCCAACCCTGCTCCGCTACAACCAGCACAGCGTGGGGGGGAGACCCTCATCCGGCAGTGCATTGACACAAAGGGCCGCAGATTGTTCTATTGTAAAAAAAAAAACATTGTCTGCACGATGCTCAGGAGCTTTCGACGCCACAGTTCAAAAGATTAGTTGCTAAAAAAAACACTCATCCAATCGTCACCGTGACATTCGCACGTAAAATGAACACCGCTTTGTGGGACGTTACCAGTGTCCCGTGCGTGAACTGGTCCAGCCGCTGTAAGAATGTGGAAGTTCCAGCACTGGATGAGGGGGGGTTGCCATCGGAGACGTATGTGTGTGTGTGTACGTTGAACTTCTTTCGCATGCCGCACGTAGCCAACCATGCTAATCGGGAGGTGCGGGAATCGGAGTGGGGTAGAACAACTATGTTCCCGCGTTTCCATGGGGGGCAACTTCGAGCTCAGTGGCACCGACTCGAGTTGTGTCCCGATCGCTGCCGGAGCTATAGGCCTGCGACACCTTCCCCCGGCCGACTGCGATGAAGGCTTCGTCCTGCTGCTGCATTGTAAAGCCGACGGCACCTATCACACCGGTTACCCCCCCTCCCCCGAACCCTTTCACACTGGCACACCCGAGCCGAGTCAGTAGAGGTCCATATCAAGGAACTACGGGGGGGGTGGCGTTCCTCTGGGCTATTTGCCGAGCCACAGCCAAACGGTGATGACTCTCGGCCTCGACAAACTCACTGCAATGTGGCTCGGTGGCCAAGCCGGGCCCGAAGAGGGCAGGGACTAATGACATGCACAGTGCACCACGACACCGGTCGGTAGGATTCCAACCCGGCACGCAACGCCGGCGGCGCGGCCCGGCTCGGCTTCCGCAGTTCAAAGACACAAACGGCACACTTGCCGAGCCGCGCCGGGCAGGGTTGGCACAGCCCCGGGTCGGCTTGGTTGTGGCAGTGGAAAAGGGGTAGCACGGATGAACGACCGCCCTTCCACCGACGCGTCATGCACAGCAGCGTCAGCAGATCGTCAACCTTGAATGCATCGCCACTGACGTCATGCATCACCAACGTTACGCCTTTTATTTCAGTTTTTGACTCTACAACGTAAAAATGTACTGAAAGTGAATTGCAATCGAGCGCTTGTTTGCAGCAAAACACACGTGAGCTCCAATTAGGTTTATCGCGAAAATATTTGTTACCGTATTCTCCAGATTACAATACACATCTCCCACCCCCCCCACCCCCCCGCTCTGTATTTTTAAACAAAAGTAGGTGGTGCATTTTATGTTCCGACAGCCACGTGTGTCAGTGCTAGTGGAGAGCGGCAGTGACGTGGTTAGTGTTGTGGTTAGCGCGCTGCGCTACAAACCGGGCAGCCAGACTTCAATTCCCAGGCAACACCATCCACTCTTATTTGAACCGGTCCCGGGCCTCTTGTAGGTCGACTCAGCTTTAAATGAGTACCTGGTGCGGTGTGTAAACATCGTCGCTTGGGAGACAAAGGCGACCGGGACGTGGTGCTGCCCACCCACCCCCTCGTGTGCCGTTCCGGCCTTCATAGGTGCTCGCTAACAGCACTTGCCCCAACAGTCTGGTAAGGCTACGCAGGTGGATCTTTGTCTTTGCGAGACCTGGATTTATATCACTGTATCCAAACCGGGCACGAGTATGGGGCGAATTTGACTTTCTGGAGCATCTTATACCCCCTGAGAACATGGTGACCTGCATCCCTTAGTAGCCACCCCCCCACAATGAGTCTGTGAGGTTTATGAGATTCACAAAAACTAAAAAGAGTGTTGGATGGTTACATTGCAACTCGCACCAACCCGGACAGCATGCACCGCCTCCCCCAAAAGCAAAGGAGATCACCACAACTTTGACCTGCCAACACGATCTTGTGGACTAGAAGCAACACTGCAGTCCAATCATATTTCGGTCATCGCCCGTTCCAATGCTAACCGCCTTGCTGAACGTCTCGCCGACGCGTTTTGGGGGTTGTACCGCACGCGTTGTACGGCGTGACGCCCAACGTTTCGCTGCCACGCGTCGGGAGCTCCTACGGTAGTGCCCGAGCGAGCGAAACGTCGGGGCCATCGTGCCGTACCAACTCGCGGCACAAACCGAAACGTGGTGCAGCGCTCTCTAGCGACAACACCCACAACACCCTCTTCACCACCACCACCACCATCACACTCTTCCTCCTCACGCTGAGGGACGCTCCAGCGGATCCTCTGCGTGCAGACGCTGCTGCACCTGCTGGTACTTGTGCAGCTCCAGCAGCGTGTGCCAGTGCCGTACGTACACCCACATGAGCTTGCCGTTGCGCCTGCTGTCCTCGTTGGTGACGTGCGCGCAGTGCCCGTCGTTGGCGAATATGTCGAGGAGGCCGTCGTGCACCGCCATGCGGCCCAGCGCCACCTCGTGGCGCGCGCGCCGCAGCATGTCGCGCTCCAGGACGTGCCGGCGCTGCCGCGGCACCAGCAGGCTGCAGTAGACGGCCTGGCGCTCCTCCAGGGCGCTCTCGAGCGCGCGCAGAGAGGCGCGCGCCCCCGCCAGCGCGAGCTCCTCCTGCGCCAGCACGGCGTCGTGCAGGGGGCCGACACGGCGCAGCGACTCCAGCGCCCGCCGCTCGCCCTGCAGCTCCTCGCGCTGCGACTGCAGCTGGCGGCGCTCGGACGCCAGGAGCTGGCTCTGCGCGGCGAAGGCTTCGCGGTAGCCGCTCAAGCGCTGCTTCAGCTTCTCGTGCTTGAGCTCGAGGCGCGCTAGCGAGCTGCCGCTCTCCGTGACGAGCGAGCGGTAGCGCAGGTCGAGCTCGGAGCGCGTGTCGCGGGTCCGCCGCTCAAAGTCCTCGCGCAGGCGACTCTTCTCCTGCTCCGTCTCGCGCGTCCAGATCGAGCCTGGACGGCGCAGGCGTAAGCGCGCACAGCAACGCACGGACGGCGTTACACAGCAACACGGGCGTGTGGGCTCACCGCAACATCCCGCTGTGCGCGACTGAATAGAATGAATTGATATTTTTGCGCAGTCATCGGCGAGGGCCCAGTTTAAACTATTGTTATTTTACAAGATAAGGCAACTGAAACCTGGATTCGTGCCCAGGTTTCTCAGCGGTGCAGGCTCAGCGCTCTGACCCGTTCCAGACTGTGCTCGTCTCAAAACACTGCTGCTTAAATTATGCACTTTCGGAAGGCCGTGCGGCCGATGGTTTGTGAAAAAAAAATTCACGTGGCAAGACGGATATGTGAAGACATATTCCTTATTTATTTCGCTGCTTACTCTTGAAGAGGCCAATTGTCTCGATGGACTGCTGCTGATGAGCATGGATCTGTGTAGCTTGGCTGCTCCCCTCTAAGGTGAGAGACCACCAACGCAAAATACTTACAGAGGTGGTAGATAACGAATTGGCATGCTGCTGATGACAATGATTGCACTCGCCCGTGGTGAAGTCAACTAACGTTATACCAATACACCATCACCTTGGCCACCGGGTTTCAGCGTCGTCGATATTCAGCTACGTGTAAAAAAGCAGCAAATTTACGGAGACAAAACGGCCATTTTAAGGGCCACAAACATAACCAGAAGCCAATCGTGGCAGGCCCTGCCCGTTTGTCAACTCAGCGTTGAAGGACCACCGTGCTACGACAATGCGACTTCCTCAGCGGGGCATGACCACCTACATGGGACATCGTCGCCCCTCAGCAGAGCCACGCTTTAAGACGGCGAGCGGATTTCGGGATGTGACAATCGTGCGAGTTATGGCCTCGCCACCTACATTAAGAAAGGGCTGAAGGGACCTCGAAGACCTTCGGGGCGACTGCGAACGGCGACGTATCTGCCATCACCCACCGGGCTTCGACAGGCTACACTGAGCACTGTGGACAATAGAGGCCGACCGAAATTCGGTTTCGGTTTCGGCGCCGAAAGTTGGCAAATGGCCTCTTTCGGCATACTCTCGGTTTCGGCCGAAAGTAAATTTTTAACTTTCAGTTTGGTTTCGGTTTCGGCCGAAACTGATATTGACTTTCGGTCGTCAACCGAAGATTTATTTTTAGAATATAACGCTAGTGCAAAGTCTATCAGCCGGTCAGTCGGCGCTAGGCAATCCTATGCGATAGGCTGCATACACACACACACATGTACACACATACACACGTACACACATACACACAAACACACACACGTACACACGTACACACACACACACGTCAGCAGCAGCAGCTTGCGAGCGAGGTTACCGCAACCAATGGTCTGGGGCCGTCAATAAATGACGTCACGCACCTGGGGGGGGGGGGGGGGGCAGCGACTGCGTAGCGATTCGCGCGCTACGAACCCGGCGGCCCGAGTTCGCTTCCCGCTCATGGCCGGTGACGATTATTTGAACCGGTCCTGGGCCTCCCCTGGGTCGACTCAGCCTCAAACGAGTAACTGCTGAGGTGTGTCAACATCGCCACTGGGGAGACAAAGGCGGCCGGCCGTGGTGCTAGCCACCCACCCCCTCGTGTGCCGTGCCGTGCCGGCCTTCATAGGTGCTTGCTAACAGCACTTGCCCCCTCCAGTCTCACAGGCTACACGGGGGATATTTGTCTTTAGCCTGTGTGTGGGAGGCGAGGCAGCGACTGCGTAGCGATTCGCGCGCTGCGCTACGAACCCGGAGGCCCGAGTTCGATTCCCGCTCACGGCCGGTGACGATTATTTGAACCGGTCCTGGGCCTGCCCTAGGTCGACTCAGCCTCAAACGAGTAAGTGGTGTGGTATGTCAACATCGCCACTGGGGAGACAAAGGCGGCCGGCCGTGGTGAATCCAAGTCCCGGGCAAAGCCGGGTAGTATAGCTCGCATTTCATAAATCTTTTGTTCAGTAACTTTGGTTATATACCTTTCTGTTTCGGTTTCGGCCGAAAGTGAAGTTAAACTTTTGCTTTCGGCCTCTAGTGGACAAGCCCCTGGACAACACTGGGTGGTGGCCTCT